AGAGATGGGAAAACAGGAGAAAAAAGTGCAACTGCTTTGCTAAGAGAGAGAGAAGGCAGCAGGAGCAGACCCTGGTTGTATCCTGAGAAACGTGGCACACATTCCTCAGAGATTTCCAAGTGAGCAGGTGTGGAAGGAGAGGACAAGAACCGCCTCCACATTAACACAAATGTTAATTTGAGGTGAGGTGGACCCACAGACTTGCCCAAGGTCAGTGATGTCATCACTGCAAAGCAGGAATGAGCTGAGGACTAGGGAAACCTGTTTCTGACACCCCACTTGAGAAGGAGGATGTCCCTCCAAGAGGACATTTGAGGGGTTTTGGAGGTACCTGAAGGAATGTTTCAGAGAATTTCAGAAGAACTTCAGTTTACTGGACAGAATTAGCTTGGATAATTTTGCTCCAAGGAGACAGAATCAGCCTTGTGCAAGGGCTGAAAATGTAACATCTCCTCAGACTCTTAAGTCCCAAAATTGTACAAAATGTGCCAAAAGTAACACAAGAACGAGCTCCCAAAATAATTCTGTAGGTACTCCTGGTACCTAGTGCCCAGCAGTAAATCCACAGCTTGAAAATGGATAAAGAGGAGCATTTTCCAATCAAAGGCAGGCAGGAAGCCCAAGTGAAACCACAAAAGAGATGTGGGATGTTTTAAGTCTGTGTGTCTGTGGCCTCTGCCTGTATCCAGGCTCTCCACTGCAGCAGCTGAAGGCAGAAGTGCTGCCTGTCAGGAACACATGACAGGAAAACCATGAAAATCCATAAAGTGAGTGCAATTCTCCCAACCCCATCCTACTGCAGGTCAACTCAGCCAGTTAAATACTCTGGCTTTAGCTCACAAAGCCTGGCCCTTGGGTAACTCTCACCCAGCTGATGAATCCACCTCACTCAGCCAGGCTGGCTCCTCACAAGTGAAAGTTTAACCTTTAAAACCAGTCCACAAATGTGATACTGGTACCTGTCCCCAGCTGAACTGGAGCCTGGAGCCCCTTCCAAAATATAGTGCAATGATTTTGTCATGTGAACAGCACAGCTGTAAGCTTGGCACTCTTCTCATCCTGGTGATTTCGACACTAGAATGGAGAGGGGAAGTGATAAAAGCAAAGCAGCCACCACACCAAACTGAGGTGAGAGAGTTGGGAATTACCACTGGCACTGCTGGAGCTTCGTAGACTCTCATAAAATCACAGAATGGTTTGAACTGGAAGCAACCTTAATGATCATCTAATTCCAAACCTCTGCCATGGGCAGGGATACCTCCCACTAGAAAGGAAAAAAAACTCATAAAACTTAGGTCCTGGCATGATACAGTGAAAGGAAACTCAGATTTCTGCCTCTGTCACTACAGCCACCTCTGGAAAAAGTCGTAGTCAGTATTTGGCAACACCGGGTGTAAGTAAATAAGTACATGGAGTAACTTATCTCCGATTAGATTTTGGGATTACATTACTCAAACGTGAGCTGGATCAAGACACCAGTTATTAACCATCTTAAGACAGGCAGCAATAGCACACTGAAGATTTCCACCTTGCTGGAGAAGCCCTGTCCCTCCTGCCCGATGCTGAGGCAGGGAGTGAGATGACTCAGAGCTGAACACTGCTCTCTCCACTCCCAAAAACATGGAGCTGCCCCTTGGGGGTCTTTCAATGCCATTTGTGCCCTGTCAGGTGAGGTGGGTGAGCCACCCAACCCTCCTCTGGGGGAAGGTGTTAGTCTGGAGGGGACAACAAGCCCAGGTGGGAAATCAGAACCCAGAAAAAACTGTAAAGCTCGATATTGGAAGTGTGGGGAACAAGTTACTGTCCTGAGTCACCTCCTGACTCACAGATCCTGACACAGAGCTCCCAGGCTAGGATGTACAGATGGGATTTCTCTGAACCCTCTGTCAGTGCAGAGGTGATTGCTGCTCTGTCCCACAGCACACAGAGGCCACACAGGGGCCTGGACATACCTTCTCCAACTTCCTGCAGTCTCGTTTTCCAGACGAACCCTCTTTATCTTCTGCATTAACTACTCAGAGAGCTGGGCAGGACAGGAAACTGGGGAGGAAGAGGGGAGAAAGGAGATTTCATACAACTGCTGTGTAAAAGCATCTTCCATAGGTCACATTTCTAGCTGAGTGGGGAGGCACAAATAAATCTCTGAGTTTCATTCCTTGGTCCAAATCTGTTCTGTCAGCACAGCCTGGGTTTGAACAGCCCTGATAAATCTGAGAGACTTCATCTGAACCACGAGGCTCAGTGAACTCTGTGGTGTGCCTCGTTCCTTCCCAGAAAACTTCTTAAAATCCGGGAATCTTGAGTACTGAACCTTTCTGTCATCCCCTCCCCAAAATCCTGGAATTCTTGCAAGTATCAGGTACTAAAAACTGACAAAACAGAGGTCTGGTCCATACACTTAGAGGGAAGAGCCAAACAAAGGACACACCACAAGGAGCCAGCCAGAGGGTCACAGTCCCACCTGGGACATAAAAACACATTTATCTCCAAAGCCTGAATGCTGCTTCTCTGTGTCTCAGCCTGCTGCCACGAGGAGCCCTGGCTCCCCACACCAATCTGCTCTCCAGGAGCACAGGAAGGTGCTTCACTGCTGTCCTGTCTCTCCAAGTACAAAGGTCTTTAAGCTCTCAATCACAGACACACTCAAGACCCACCACTGCCTTTTGTCGAGGCTCCTGCTCTCCCCAAAAAGCCATTTCTCCACCAAAAGCACGCTCACAGGGGACCAGGAGAGACAAAGCCTCACCAAGAAAACTCCTCTGCTGCAGAGGAGAGCAGAGAGGGAGGAAGCAGCAGCATTCAGCAATTTAAGGGCAGTTTTTGATGCAGGCATGAAGGGCAGCAGCAGCGATGCTCAGGAATGCTGAGTAACCTGGTCTGATCTCCCAGCTGACCCTGCCTTGAGCAGAGGTTGGACCAGAGACTTCCCGAGGTCCTGCCAGGCTTGGCTGTTGTGTGATTTTAATGATTCTGAGGAACATCTTAGCCCTCATTGCACCCAGGCCAGATCACACATTTAACACAGGGAAGGACCAGTATCTTCAAATCACAAAACCTTAAACCAGGGAGGGAAAAAAAAAAAAAAAAAAAAAGAGAAACTGTGCAAAATACACAAAAGCGATCAGGAACCAGTGTGAATCATTCGGGAAGAGCCGATGGAACACAGGAAAAGAGTCACCTACAGGAGCCCTTACAACGCGTCCCTGTCGTGGCCGGGAGCTTTAAGGTCTCCAAAAATTAAAGCAACCGAGGGTGGGATAAACCGAGGTGGAGATTTCTCCGAAGAGGGATGAGCTCCGGCAAAGGCTGCCAGCAGCCCTCGTCCCTCTGCAGCTCCCGCCGGGAGCTCTGCCCTTGGTGCAGAGGAAAGGCCGGGATTTGGGATAGCAGGAGAGGCGGAATCCCCGGGGATGGAGCATCCTGTGCCCCCATCTCCCTCACGGCTCTCCCCGTGGAAGGGCAGCGAGCAGCCCCTCACCCTCCTGCGCCAGCCGGGGCTGCTGAGGGGGGGACACGGGACCCCCATCACCGCACCCGTGTGGGGAGTGACCCGAGGGCCGGGCCTGGGGCCAGCCCTGGCGAATAAACCCCCCCCGGGGCAGGGAGAGGCCGCCGCCGTGCTTAGGGGGCACAGAGCCCAGGGAAGGGGCAAACACCCGCTCAGGGCAGCGGGGACGCGGCCCGCGGAGCCATCGAGCGCTCCCCGCCCGGCTCGGCCGCCCCTCACAGGCGGGAGCCCCACCCAGCCCTGCCCGCGCCGGGGCGGGACCCTCCGTGCCCGCCATCCCCCCGCTCCCCTCCTCACTCACCGCGGGGCGCGGCGACCTCCCCGTGCCGGGCGGGGAGGGTGGGGCGGCGGCTGCAGCGCGGGAGGGAGGGCGGGGGAGGGAGGGAGAGGCGGCGGCGGTCCGTCAGTGCCGCTCCATGTCCCGGGCGCGGGGCAGCCCCGGAAACGGGGGCGCGGGGGCGGCGGCGGCCACGGCGCGACCTCTCACCCGGCGGCGGAAGTGGCGGGAGCGCGCGCCCGGTGCGCCCGGGAGGAACCGCTGCCTCTAGCGGGAGTGCGGAGCTATTAGAAAAATCATACGGAATAGGTGAAGGGGTTGGAAAAGGCCCCTGAGGTCGTGGGTCCATAGTCACATTGTCTTCCACACTACGGAGCTAAGTCTGTCCTTAAACACCCCCACGGACAGTGAGTCTGCCGCCTCCCTGGGCAGTCCGTGGCAGTGTCTTCTTGGAGAGGGTGGGCACAGAGAGAATTGAGAATTGAGGCTGATACAGGGTAAAAAAAGCACGGGGAGAAGATTCTTCCTCTCCGTCAGAGATGGGCCCTAAATTCAGCATTTCTTGCTATCGTGGGGCGGCTGTGGAGCCATTCGCATCTTTCATTGTACTTTACCCGGTGTTGCTACGGGAGAATGTTTGGGTCCCTGTGGTGATGCTCCTGAGTCAAGCGGGGAGAGCCGACATCAGCGGGCGTTGGTGGTATAGTGGTTAGCATAGCTGCCTTCCAAGCAGTTGACCCGGGTTCGATTCCCGGCCAACGCACATTTATTTATTTTTCCTCATATTATCTTTTTCTCCCCCCCTCCGTTTCTCACCGACCCGAACCGAATTGAGACGCACCGGCACGCGAAGCACCGCCCGGCCGCTCTTTTCCCGCATGAGCCCCGGCGGGAGGCGGGCGCTGGTCAGCGATGGGGCGCGTGGTGCCGGTTGCTTCTCTTCCCAACTCGCGGTGGAGACCCCGAGTCGTCAGTAGACGGCGGGGAAATAAATAAATAAATAACTCTGAAGTTTAAAAAGCCGCACGGAAACCTTAAGCCACTCCAAACCAAAATAACAAGGAAATGAACGGCCACAAAAAAAAGCACCCAGAGGCAAAGGGGAAAGAAAACAGGTGTTTCCGCCCGGGATCGAACCGGGGACCTTTCGCGTGTGAGGCGAACGTGATAACCGCTACACTACGGAAACCCGCCATGGGTGCCCTTGCCCGACGATGGCCCATGTTCCTGCCATGGCGGCTGAGGGGGTGTGGGCTTCCCTCACGGCAACCTCAAAATAAACCTCCCGCAAACCCCTAAAATCGCCGCGTGGGACTCCCAGCGATTACCATCAACGACTAATTGGAGTTCGCAGAGACCCGCTGGTCTCAGGAGAGCGCTGAGGTGCGTGTCCCGGGCCGTGTTGCAGAGGTCCCCTCAGAGACGACACAACCCCACAGCGAGGTTCCCGCTGAGGGGGCGCAGGGCGCTGCTGAAGAAAACAAATGTCTCTTTTCCCTAAGGCAGCTGCCACCAGATGTCGGTAGAATAGTGGCTACAGGGAGTGGAGCTCCCTGGAGAGCCACCCGGGAGGGACAGGACCCGCCTGGCCGAGGGGACAGGGGCTGGAAGAGGAGCGGGCCCCAAGGACAGGCCTGTTGGCAATCACAGATTCACAAGATGCCAGACCGGTCTGAATTGGAAGAACTTTAAATCTCATCTCATTCCACCCACTGCCATGAGCAGGGACACCTTCCACTGTCTCAGGATGCTCCAAATCCCGTCCAACCTGGCCTTGGACACTTCCAGGGATCAAGGGGCAGCCACAGCTGCTCTGGGAATTCCATTCCAGGGCCTCACCACCCTCAGTCAAGAGCTGACAATCCCAGACAGTTCTAAGTTTGTTCCTCTTACCCTACTGCAATGTTAACAATTTACTTAATGGCAATCCTTCTGTTTTTGGTAAAACCTCAGCCCTTGGAATCAGGTGGTAACATGAGAATTATGTTTTCCTGTTTTGTTTTGTTTACTGGAGTGTATTTTGTGCTCTGCTGGCTGCAGAAAAAGGCTCAGAATGGAGAAATGAATCATAAACTCAGATGAAAGCAAAAAGAACCTCACTTTTAGTAACACTTTCTTTTAATAAAATCTATTTTTAATTTTATGATTTCATTTCACAATTTTGTAGGTGATCTTTCGATTTGGGGCCAAAAGGGGTAGAGAAGAGGTTGTCACTTGTCCTTTAACTTCAGGGCTTGCCAGTGCTTTATTCTGATCTGATTTATGATAAGGATTATAATGTTACAAGTCCGTGACAAACCCAATGTCTCGGGACTTGTTTGCTCCGTGTTGTTGTTAAACATCCTGGAATGAAATCCTTTTTGCCTGCAGCTGGCAGAGCCGCAGAGAGGACTGGTTACAACCTTTGCACTGAGCATCAGCTGAGCAGAGCTGATCAATAGCTGGGGGCAAGGTTCCCTCCCTCGAGCAGGGAGAAGTGGATCTGTGAGTGACCCATCCGTGGGAAGATTCAAACGCTTTGGGTTTTGTTTTCTCCTGCAGCCCTCTTTCAGCTTGGCGATGGGTGGAGAGAGGAGCTGCAAGAACAGACAGCGCCAGGGAGGAAGCCCTTGGAAGGTACCTGTGGGAGGCAGAAGCAGGAATTCCGTGGAGATGTCGTGCTGTCGGTGTGAATTCCCAAACCCATCCGGACCCCGCGGTGCTGCTGCCTGGTTCTGGCAGTGCCACACCGAGTCGTGGGCTCTGGATGCTCCTCGCGTGGGCAGCGCTGGTGGGGGGCCCGGACAAAGCCCCCTCTTCCCGCTGGTTCCTGCTTGCTGGAATGGCTCCCGGGGACGTTCTGGTTTTTCTGACAAAGATGCTTTGTCAGGGACGGCTGAAACTTTGCCCCTTCAGCATTCTCCCTTCCAGTCCCTGACCTCTCCCACTTCCTCCGCTCCCAGCACTTCCCACCCGTGTGGCACTGCTGGGTGTGGAAGCCCCCTGTGCCCCACGATCCCCAGAGCACGAGAAAGGACTGTGGCAGGGAAAAAAAATAACCCGGGGCCCCAATTGGAGGTGAAGGCTGGATATTCTCTTCTATTATCACCAGCATCTGCCCTTTCTGAGCGAGGAGCCCTCCCCCAGCTCTCACCGGCGGCCGTGCTCGGCTTTGTTTCCCTGACACGCTGCGCTGGCTGCACAGTCCCATTCTCCCCTTTTCCTCCCTCCACTCCCAAAGCCTGCGTGGCTGTAAGAGGGGAGCTGGAAGCATCGTGGAGCAGGAGAGCTGACAATCAGGGCCGGGAGACAACGCTGCTGCCGTGCACAATACCCCCCCAATTAGCCATTCATCTCTTCTGCCTCTGAAACGGCGAGCACAGCCCTTGTGCCGGGAGATAAAACAAGAACGGCTTCAATAGCACTGATTTAAATTAGGTCAGGCTGGCTTTTGTGTGGCAGGGACCACACAATAGCTGTCACACGACGGTGGAGGGGAGCAGCATAAAGGAAAAGAGGCCAAGCAAGTGGCACAGATGCTGGGAGTTGGTGAGTGCATGGGGATAGTGGAGGGACAGGCACTCACCCAGCACGAGATGCTGGGGCATAAAAGGGGTGCCATGGTCAGCAGGGGACAGAGAAGTCACACACTGCCTGGGCAGAAACAAGCTCTGCCACACCACAGCCATGTGCCCCTGGGAACCTTTAACCATCACTGGTTAGGAGACAAAGGGGTGACAAGTTTTGGACCCCTCAGGACAAGAAGGATATTGAGGGGTGGAGTGTGTCCAGGGAAGGGAACAGAGTTGGGGAAGGGTCTGGAGCACCAGGAGCAGCTGAGGGAGCTGAGAGGGCTCAGCCTGGAGTAAAGGAGGCTCAGGGAGACCTTCCCGATTTTTGGAGTGTCCTGTGCAGGGCCTGGACTGATGATCCTTGGGGGACCCTTCCAACTCATGATTCCATGACCTGAGTTGCAATCCTCAGCATTGCCCAATTCATTTCCCCTCATAAGTTCCCCAAAAGTTCATACCTGGCCTGAACACCTGGTGTGCTGTGAAATCCTACACTGGCTTCTTTACAGATAGGTGTGTTTGGGGAAATACCAGCAACTCCCTCAAAATGACCTCAGCTTAGGCTCTCAAAGCCATCTGAGTGTCTGCCTTCGGAGAGAGGTCCTGGGGAGAGTTTTCCAGGAGGATGTGAGCACTGGAACCTCATCCCAGTTCTCCCCCCAGTTTCATTAATATCCTTATTGCTGTTTTTACAGTGGCAATGCAGATGTTCATGTTTATCTGGCCATGGGAGGACACGAGAGCTATCAGCAAGAGCCTGATCTTTTCAGCAAGCTGTTGTCACGGTCTAAATGAATTTACCCAGGTAAATCCATATGCAAAGGAAGGTAAGATAAGTTTAAAATAAGAGTCCACCCCTTCAAGTCTCCCAGGAGTAAATGAACGGTCTTTTGTGCCCCAGGTTGGACTTTTACAGGTGCCACTTTGCTATAGTTGGGCCAAAAACTAGTGGGGGAAATTGTGGGTGGGGAAAAGTGGGAAGATGTAATCAGCCACTTAATTCAGTCTTTTTGGAAGGACAGCTTGATATTCTTTTGCAGTTGCAAGAAAAAGCTACAAACAAAAAACAATACTTAAGAAAAATGTTCATTGTATTATAAAGTCATAATTTGCATGCTAAAATTGCAAGTGTTATCATTTCTACTACTGATAGTAAAAAAGTAGGTGAGCCAAAGCACTGAGTGTGCCAGCCAGTGCCAAAAGGAGGAAACTAGGTTAAGCTGAAATATCAGTTGTTCCTATTCCCCTTCATTTGTTTGTTCACACATGAATAATTTTTTTTTTTTTTTTTTAATACAAGACAGCTTAGAGCTACCCTGGGCCATCAGCTACAGTGGCCTACATAATTCCCAGGCTGATTTAAACACACAGGCAGTGGAATATTTGGTGGCCACCAGCTGATATTGGAAAGACAGGCACTAAAAATAAGTTGTCCTTTCTAACAGTAAATGTAATTAAGCACTGAAATAGTGCCTGTTGTAGGGAGGTGGCCCTGAAGGCATGGAGCCAAAACGAGACATGTTGTTAAAAGGTATGTTCCCTTCAGCAGATGGTCAGAGCTCTGGTACATGAAGCACCCAGTGAAATTATCCACCCAGTTCCTGTAGGAAGCCCGTCTGGAGCAACCATAATAGCCCTAATTTCTCTCAAAATACAAATATATGGTTGCTAGTTTTCACTGCTTTGCAGCTATACTATTTGGTGTAAATTTAGCTGTTTAGTTGTGAGAACACAACAAAAACAGCAACAGCCCACTTTGGTTTGCATTATGATTTACTTTCTAAAGCCCACACTGCAGCAGAGACTGAAGGTGCTCAGGTACCAAAAGCAGTTTAACTGTGGTAGCACAAAAATGTGTTGTGTCTCAGGGGAAGGTTAGGTGGAATATCAGGAAAACGTTCTTCCCCCAGAGGGTGGTGGGCACTGCCCAGTCTGCCCAGGGAATGGTAACAGCCCCAAGGCTGCCAGAGCTCCAGGAGCATTTGGACAACACTCTCTGGCTCTGCACCTGGGGTGATCCAGAAGCAGAAGAGGCAGGAGTCCAGCTCTTGTTGACATCTTAGGGGGGTGATCATTGTGGGTGCCAAACAAGAAGACATAAAAGTTATATCTGATCATGTTATTAGTGCAGACATCCATATATAAAGATAAATCAGAATGATACAATTATGTGGATATAGGTAGAGATCGTTATTCTCCAGCAAATGGCATCATCTGGGATGCTCCTGAGTTTTGACTGCATATTTCTGAGATGGCCTCTATAACCTGAAATACTCATTGGAGTCCTTCAGCTCTCCAACAACCCGAAATCCACTACAGAAAATAATATGTTCTGCAGAAGATTGGTTCATTCCCTGAATATTTATTTGCTGGTTTGGGCTGGGGTATTTTTCTATTCTTATTACTACTATTATTTGTTTTGTTTATTTCTTCTCCTTTTATCAGCTCCAGCTGAGACAAGGGAGGGTGGGAGGAGGGTTTTGTTCCTCTGGAGATAACAGGAGGCTGTGCCTGTGCAGCCATGGTGACAAGATCCAGGGCGCTTTCTGGCTTCTAAGCAATTTGCTCCCCACCCCTGGCTCCCAAGAAAAAGTGGGGCAGAGATAGAAAGGAGCTTTTGTTTCTCAAGTGCTTCAGCTGTTACTTCTAATTAAGGGAAGAGCTCCAGTGCCTTCCCACTCCCCAGCTGAAGGAGGATGGAGCTGGGGCAAAAGGAGAGCCAAGAGGCTGTGGCAGCTCTCCTCTTTCCAGCTGCAGCCTGGCTGGGTGACCTGTGCCATGCCAGTGCCTCAGATTCCCTGGCTGCAGGGGGGAAGAAATGAGAGAGCCCGAGCCCAGCACGAGGCCAGGTGGAAACGACCACCCTGCTGTTCAAGGTGTTATTATCGGTTTAGTGCAGTATGTTCCCAGCTTCCCAGACATGCTGACTATCAGCAAATTGCTCTTTCCTTCTCCAGCTTTCCCCGATGCCATCCCCTTCTCTCTGAGATGCCAACCCCTGCCCTGAGGTCTAACAGCATTTCTCCAACCTCCCTCCCCAGTGTGCCTGTTTTTAACCCCTGCTGGTATCACCTGGATGTGCTGCAGGAGCCAGGTGAAGTGTCAACAGCCAGGGATTGGGCAGGTGGCCTTGGCACAGCCAGGTGGGCTCTGTGGGACAAGGAGAGTGGCATGGGCAGAGAGCAGGGCTGTGGCAGCTGTGAACCACACAGGCCCTGCCCAGCTCTGCAACAGGGAACACAGACTGTTCCACAGCACTGCACAAACATGGGAAGGACTGCCAAGAGGAAGAGAGGGTGGAGATGTAGAGAGAAAAAAAATAATGTATTGAATAGGAACACTCAGGAATCCAACAGCCCACAGACTCAAGGTCCAAGCCCTGGCTCTGCTCTGGAAGTTGCCCACCAAGGACTGAAGGAGCCCTCCAGGTCACGGCTGCTCCCCTGTGCCTCTGCACCCCCTGAACTCTGTTGGATCTCTTCAGCCTGGGATCTCACAGGGAGAAGTTTAGGGCTTCACTCGGAAACAGATGGTCTCCCTCTTGGGCCCCATCTGCCAGGCAACACTGGAGCAGTTGGTCTCTGCAGTGCTGAGCAGAATCTTGTTTACTTTCCCCTCCCATCCCTAAGGTGATCACAGGGCAACCCAGGCCTTCTGCTTCAGCCCAGATTTCCAGGAACGGCCAGGAACTCCGAGGTGCAGGAGAGTAACCCAGGAGCAAGAGAGGGCAGGTGACATCAGCCAGCCCTGACTCTGTCACTGTTCAGCGATGGAGAGATGGAGCAGCACCTGGCAGCTGCCCCTTTTTCCTCCATCAGGACACAAAGAGTCTCCATCCATCAGGGATGCAGAGAAGTGTCTTCTGACAGCATTAAGCACACACAAAACCAGCAGGTGAGTCCAGCTCTGCTTGAGCAGCACTAGCCAAGATTGCTGCAACATGCCTGATAAAAGAACTTTACTTCTCTCTGGGTTGTGCTGCTGCAAGTCTGTGTCAAGGACTCGAGGATATCATCCATCCATGCATGGATGGATCATCCATGGATCATCTGAAAGCATCAGCCCATGTTTTCCAGAGACCTCAGCCGCAGCAGCCAGAGAGCGAGGTCCTGCTCTCTCAGGTTGCCAGGTTAGGCAGTCAGGGCTCTAATGGTGCTCGCTGAGCGGAGGGCACGGAGCAGGGCTTTATCCCTCCCCCGAGGGCTCCCATCCGCGGAGGCTCCGGCCGGGATGCTGCCGGTGGCAGCTCCGCACTAATCAGCCCCCAGGCGGGAAGTGGAAACTTTCTGCTTGCAGCCACTTAGTTTCATTAGGAGCATCACGAGAGAAAACAGGGCCTCAGGTGGGGCAGGGGGAGGCAGGAGGTGGGGAGAGGGGTTTGCAGCCTGTTTGTCCTGGCACTTGGCATGGCAGCTTCAGCTGGAGAGGAAAGAGGGGCAGAGACAGCCTGGAGCTGGGGCCTGTCCCCCACACTGGTCAGAGCTCTGGAGGTCGTGCAGCTGGGTGAAGTGATTGTTGCAGGATATATTATTCCTATCACTGCAAAGAATTTTCCCCCATGTCTAGCCTAGATCTTCCTTGTTCAACACAAACATGGTACTGCTCAGAGGTGGAATATTAAGGGCTGGAGTCGCTGCCTAATCATGTATTGATTCAGTGGAGCTGAGCTCAATGAAAAGAGTCTGCCCAGCCTTGCTCCATCCCCCTCGTGCCCCAGGAGAATGTTTTGTGTGAGACTAAATGCCTCTGTAAGTGCCTCTCAGCTCCCAGCTCATTGAGAGCTGTTCTGCACAGACACATTGGAGCAGGGAGGGTGAGGGATCCTGGAATCACATTTCCTTTTGGCAAGAGGGATTTTATCTGCCTCAGTCTTCCTGGTCAGTGTGCATGGTGGGGCTGTCAGTTCTCCTGAGCAGGACTTAGAGCCCTGTCAGGCAGGAATTCTGCCACCATCAACAGCACTCTACCCCTTGCCTCGCATTTCACTCATGTCCTCACCCAAGAGCAGAAATGAACTCAACTGCTCACCCTAAGTCTGATTTCCCTGCTTACATTTTTTGCAACACATTCAGGAATTGGACTTGATGATCCACGTGGGAATCTCAGGATATTCTACATTCTATGCACCCTGATGGCTTTGGGAGAGATCTGTGACAGGGCTAGAGTTGGCAGGATAAGTAAGATAGGAAAAAGTGACCAGAAGAACAGAACTCAGATTCCTGAAATCTCATTCATGAAAAGGTATTGCCCCTTGTTCCTGGTTTGTGCCCCGTTTGTGAACACAGGTGTTCTATTACTCCCACGTGGATGAGCAGTTGTTTTCATGTGAGCTCTTGTCCATCTTCCAGTTAAAGGGTTTGTTTGTTAGCCTTGGAGATTTCAGCAGCAATAATCCTGTTTGGAGACACCCACGCTGTTCTGCAGGAGCTCTGCCCTGGGATGGAGAGGAGCTGGGTCAGGGAATGCAGCAGCCAGGAGATGGAGCAGCTTGGCTCCTCAGCACGGAGCAGGAGCAGGCTCGGAAGAGAAAGGCCAGGCCCTTACAGGGCTCTTGTCCCTGATGGAACAGATGTGGCAGCTGCTTTGTGTCACAACCGCTGCGTGTTTGCGGAGCGGCCAAAGGACTCCCCGGGCTGTGCCTTGGGCTGGCACATGGGGCCTTTCATTTTCCTCAAGGGCTCTCGAGGAAGAGCTCATTGTACCTGCTTGGAATTAATTCTGCCAGTCCCCAGCCTGCTCATGGACTCCCCGTGCTGGAGTTCAAGACATGCCTTTCATTCTTTTTTTCTTTAGTCTGGGACAATTGATATCCTGGGATGAAGCTGCATCGACAGCCAGGACCTGATCCTAGTGGACGCCACACAGACCTGACTTGGAGCCTCCAGGAATTGGATTTTCCAAGCTTCCTTGCAGCAGCAGCTTGCTGACAGACTTGTCCCATTCCCTGGTTGCACAGCCCTCGTCCCCCAAGGCCAAGGATCCACCTTTGTGCTCCATCAGCTGGAAGTGCTGTTCTGTTTGGGGCTACCTCAGAACTGCTGGCACAACAGAGATGTTTTGGTTCTGGCTGAGCACTCGGCATCTGAGCTCTCATGTGGTTGGAGCCCATTTTTTTTGCAAGAATGAAAACAGTGGATTAATGAGCTGCTTGTGGCTAATGTGCAGGGTTTCTCAGAACTGGTGCTATTAGAGCCCAGCGTCATGTAGGAGGTAAATGGCAGCACACGGTGAATAAAGCAGTGATATAATAGGTTTAAGTAGTCCATTTCCCTTTGGAGTGTTACTGATAACAGGCCCAAATGCATACAAGACCATTCCCTTAATGAATAAGACTGCTCTCTAGCAGAGCACACGCTGCAGCGCCTCACAAGGGGTTTATTTTCCATCATTTTCATCCAAAACAAGGCTTGGGTGTTCGAGTTGGAGTGGGGTGCAGGGAGGACTATAAACATGGTCTGACCGCTCCACAGGAGACACGTCTTTATCCCAGTGTGCTGGCCCTGGGTGTAACCAGAGGAAGATACTCAGGACAGGTCACAAGGCTGCATAAAGAATAAGGCTTCTCCCAACTGCAGTTTTGTAGCTTCCAGCAATCTGTGGGTTCTGCTTGGATGTTGCATCCAAACTATTACGTTTAATCATCACTGATAGACCAAACCTCCCTAATCTTGTCTAAAACCTTTTGAACCTATTTATATTTTCAGGCTACAAGATATCCTGTGGCAAATGAGCACCAAGATTTAATTATGTGCTGTGTGAAAAAGCAATTCTTTTTGTTTGTTTTAAACTGGCCTGGTAATTTCACTGGGGCACTGATTCCTCCTGTTGTGAGAAACAGCATCTAAAATACCTGAGGGAAGTAGAATCCCAGATTTTATTGGAAGGGCATGTGATTATGACTTCTATGTGTTAAAAGCACTTCTGAAAATGGAGCATAGGTTCTACTTTTAATGCTTGTGGAAATATTGCCTCCAGTGCTCTTGTTTGCTCTTCAGCTTGTTTTTATTTATTTAATTTTTTTCCCTTAACCGCTTTTTACAAGCTACCCTAGTCCCTGACAGATCCAGCTCTCAAGCTCCTTGTTTACTCTGTTTGCATGGACTTTATATTTTACAATATTCTCCTTGTAAGTGCTGCAGCAGCGGAGTGTCTCTTGTGGGAGCTGTGAGCACAAACCCCACCAAGGACAGGCACATGCCTTGAAGCGACCTCTTCCTCCTCATTATGTTTGTGATGGTCTCGATGTCAGCAGTTCAAGCACAGGCACACGGGGTTCAATACAGCACCGAGATAAAGGCAGGAGACACATCCCCACTCCCCCGAGGCGTGAGCGACTCTGCCGCTCCTTG